CATTTATTTATCCGTATTAATTCTCTGGCCTTTCTAGAAAGTTAAAAAAAAAAAAGAAAAATTTTTTTTTTATTTACACCGCGATTTTTATAATTGTTCAGAAGAAAAAAATAAATATATATGAAATTCAAAGACAATAAATGATTATAAAATTATATTTTTAATTACGCAATATTAATTGCTGTTAAACAGAGCGCGAAATCGATGAGAGAAATGCTCTTATGAGAAAAATGAGTTTTCGACTAGTTGCTTTCTTCCCTGATTGAGACCAGAGAATTATCTCTTTTTCTTTCTCTTTATCACACCGTCTCTTCCTATCTTTTTTTCTCGATAATTACATGATATACGGTGGTATGTGCAGAGTAATCTGGAGGCTCGCAAAATTGCTATACGCTGCTAATAAAATGTATCACATGCCCTATATCAGCCGTGCGCCAATTATTAGTTCGACAATTAATCGGGCATGTTGATTAAAAAATGTCCTCCGGTACCGCAAAGGGCTGCTTCAGAATACAACAATATGTTATATCCTAAGTTCATTATACGCAAGATAATTCATCCTTCAACCAGTATCTCTTATGAATTCGCTAAATACAACTTCAAGACATTGTAATCTCAACGCAAAATCTAAAGACTTTAATTTGTTTAAGAACCAAAAATTCTTAGCATTTAAAATTTACACTCTTAAGAATGAAAAGATAGCATTGAAGAAATAAAAAAGGAGGTTCTGACTATTTTTCTCTCTGAAAGAACAAATCTTGAAGAAAACACGAGTTACTGGTCAAAGAATGAAACATTAGCAAAAAGTAAAGTATAATCGCTCACTGTTTACCGGAGTGAGAAATGACGGCGCAGTAATTTGGACCGTTGCTTGTCACAATCAACTAAAATAGCAGGTACAACTGAACGTTAGTTTCGATGGCGGCCAGTCCGCGCGTACAAGGCGCAGAGACAAGACCACTCAGTGGCCAATTGCATAAACATCAAACAACAATGTATCATATAATCATTCGTTGGTTCAACAACAAATCACTTTCGATATATATATAAAAATAAGGTATCAAACTTTTTTGTGTCGATTTGCGTCGAGGTACACAGCCATCGTGACTACGTGCTTAATTTACGTGTGTTGTCCCCTAGAAACCATCTGCGTCTCTCCAAGGATCGAGCGTTCGAGCCTCACCAAGATCCTTGGATCCCAGATTTCAAGAATTAGGGAGAAGTTAAGTACTTGACATGTTAACAAGATATCCAAAGATTAGAGTCCAAGAGAGAACAAGCTTGAAAGAATCCGAAGATAATATATATATATATTTATATATCCAAGGATTGAGCCTATAAAAAAATATCGAATTAATCCGAGAAAATATAAAGAGATTTTAAATATATAAGAATTAAGACACCCAAATCAAAATTTATGGAATCCTCTGAGTGAAGAATTCTAGAAATTTAGATTTTTGACAAAATGTTTTTGATAAATGCAAGATGTATATTTGAGACTCAAGATATTAACAAACTTCGAAGGACTCGGAAGCCCTATATTAACACGAGTCACAGATATCTCGAAGCCGCCAAATTTCTGCAGAATTTCAAGGATTCAAGGACCTCGAGGCTCGTTTGAATTTTTGTAGGATCACCGGAGCACGAGACACTTATTTTATAACGCTACGATTAGATTTGTATCGAAGTGCCCAGAAATCAGTATAGTTCCGTCAGCGAAGCTGTTCCAGACGAATAGACATTCTACAGCTGTTCTACTCTATCTCTCTCTCTCTCTCTTTCTCTTGTTCGTTTTTTTTATTTTATCTTTTTTCTCTTTTTAATTTTTTGCTCGCGGAACAGTGGGCATGACAACTTGTTCATTATGTGCTGAAGCACATGAAAAAATGGCTTAATTTTTATGCAAAAGGCCTTACAAATTTTCTTTCCACATAGAGCATATCGCGCGTTTTATTCGCTTTTATTCTTTTTTTTTTTTCTCTGTGTAGGTGTGTAATCTCACGCGAACTATATAAATAAATTATAAATTATTACACCTGATATATAGTCTTAACCCACCCCCTTCTATATGTTTCGTGCATTTCGGAAAAAGCATTTATAATATAGTTACAATAGTACTCGCACAAGAGGATTACTATTTATTCTCAATTATACCATTAAAGGGATTCGTAGACCATCAACGTGACGATCAACATCTAGATTCGATATTATATCGTGTGTATGCTCATCGCTAATAATGCTAAATACTACATCAAAAATTCGAAAACCAGAATGTGCCTCGATTGATTAAAGCGCCGCTCCGGTCTTTTTGCCGCTTAACAATTCAAGTCCATATATAGCTCTTCGTCAAACTTCTCAACTTAAGACGAGAAGGACAAACAAAAAGATAAATAAGATATATTATAGAAGAACTCTTTCGATCTGAAAACGCGTATAAATGCAATATTGAAAAGATATATTTCTTAGTTTAATATAATAATTTAATATAATAATAACTGAAAATATTTCATATATAATTTACATAATTTAAAAAATAGATTATTTTATATATTAATAATTTAAGATAACTTTTTTTTTATTTCATAATTTTTATAATGATTTTTATATATAGTTGAATTTGCTTGTACCATTTAACCTAGTCCGCTGTTCCAGATTCATATTACAGCTCTTAATTGTAACGAGTGTTATTTTAACATATCAGTTGGACTCAAATTGTTAAAGCACCTATTTTTCCTCAATTGCGACGATAACAAACAAAAATCAAATCTTTTTTATTTCCCAAAGTATGACTCTTCGAGCAACAATTTCGTCGATTAAATATCTTGAAATAAATACTGAAAGAACGTTGAACGGGCACAATTCCAGAAAAAATTAATGAAAAAAATAAAAACAAGTGTTACATTAAAGATATATAGTAGACTGCCGATTTTCTAAAATTTTGGCATCAACGGAAAATTAAACAAATCAAAATTCAGACTAACTTAAAAAAAAAAAAAAAAAAAAAAAAAAAAAAAAAAAAAAAAAAAAAAAAAAAAAAAAAAACAAAAAAAAAACAAACAAATCTTTACAAATCTTTGATATTATCTCTTTAGAAAACAAAACAATATTAGTAACTTCTTTTTTAATAAAGATAATTCCCTTTTACAAGGTGTTAAAGAAATTTCACGAGTTAAAGTCCAAGAGAGATTCCGACCGGTTAAAGAGTTCGAGTTCCAGTAGTTAATTTCCAGAATACACCACATAAATATTTCAAAATAAGACTATTCAAATTCTTACAGATCAATTAATTATCATCGACAGTCTACCGCAGCTAAATTGGATCTGCTATCATATACAAGAGCGCCCGATAGGCGGGGCCCCTTGCCTGCTTGCTTACCTAATTCTTCATTTAGCCCGTACTCCGACGGTCTTGCACCGCGGGAAGCGTCACTGCTGCACCGGCGTGGGCGGATACGGGTATCCGTATGTCGGCACTGCTTGAAACTGGCTGTAATGGCCCATCGATTGGTAGGCGCAAGCGCCGGCGTTGGGCGGCGGTCGATTGGTCTGGAAGAATTTGTTGTTCACGAGATTTTGTATCCCGGAGTCCGCGTGCCCGCCGGACGGCATCATGAAGGGCGGCGGCATCGAATACACATTCGGCCCGTTCTGTCCGCCGCTGAAGCCGTTCTGTCGATTTTGAAAACGATTACCCTGATAACCAGTGGTTCTACCTTGGTATCTGGGTGCGCTAGCGGTTTGATGTGCCGGTTGGCACGTGCTGTTAGCCGCCTGGTAACCATTTTGATAGCCGTTAGTGGACTGTCGTTGCTGCTGTTGATAAGAATGCTGCGCCTGATAATTATTTTGACGATTGACTTGATAACCGCTGTTACGCTGATGACGCGTCACCATTTTCTCCTGCGCCATCTGACTATGTACGTGCTGGTTCGTCTGGTGCGGTATGTGCTGATTCTGCCAGTTACTTATCGTCGGACTGATATTGTTCCTAGGACTGCCGTGAGGATTGTTATCTTTATTGCTTCGTCCGTGGCTCCATCGCTGTCGTCCTTTGCCATATTGGTTCCTCATAGAATTTGCAATGTCTGCCAGTTGTGGATTTATAGATTGACCAGCTTCTTCTAGCACCGCAATCAATTCTTTTGCCTGTCTCGCGTTATTCGGTGTGAAATAAGCATAGGCGGTGCCGGCGCTCTGACAGCGGCCAGTTCTGCCGATCCTGTGGATGTAGTCCTCGGAGCTGTTAGGATAATCGAAGTTAATGACGTACTTAACGTCCTCGACGTCCAAGCCGCGTGCCGCCACATCGGTCGCGACAAGAATCATAGTTTTTCCATTGCGAAATTCTGACAAAACGTAATCGCGCTCCGGCTGCGATTTGTCGCCGTGAATCGAGATAGCTGACCAGCCCTCGCGTTTGATCGTCTTCGTGATATCGTCCACCTTCTTTTTTGTCTCCACAAAAATGATCATCTTGCTGCCGCGTTCGGTTCCGATTTCGCGCAACAATTGCGACAGTTTCAATTCTTTCTCGTGTTCCTGACAGATTTCGATGATTTGTCGGATATTGTGATTGGCTGCCAAAGTCAAAGAGCCGATATTAATCTGGATGTAATCGGTGAGAAAATCCTCGGCAAGAGCTTGCACTTCTTTGGGCCAAGTGGCAGACCACATGAGCACCTGCCGATCAGGCCGGATCTGTTCGATAATTTTGCGGATCTGCGGTTCAAAACCCATGTCCAGCATTCGATCGGCCTCGTCTAATACCAAATACGTGCATCTACGTAGGTTAGTAGTGCCTTTTTCGAGGAAGTCGATCAACCTGCCAGGTGTCGCGATGCAAATTTCCACCCCGCGTTCAAGATCGCGAGCTTGAGGCCCCTTTGGCGAGCCACCGAAGATGCACGTATTGCGAATGCACGATGACGAACCGAAATCACGCGCCACTGTTTGAATTTGTTGGGCCAATTCGCGCGTGGGAGCGAGAATCAGAACAATTGGACCATCGCCGCGGTTGAGACGAGGCTGATGATTGATATGCACCGTCGCCGGAAGGATATACTAAAACAAATAGAAAAAACATATATATAATGCTCTTCATATAACATTTGTGTTATTATGTTATATTAAGAACTAAACATATATATATCATTCAAATTTTTCTTTGCATTCATCAATCGATTTCTCTAAATAACACCATTCAAATTTATTTTGTATTAATATCCTAATTAAAGAATTAAACCTTCTGTTTTCTCATCATAGCTATTTTAAATTGATATTAAATAAGAGAAAATGTGTTAACTTTTTTCTTGCATTTTATGTCAAATAAATTAGTTTTTTCATACATCCTACTAGATTTTAATATCAATTCAATATTACTATAGTATAGAAGAGAAATCAGAAATATTAATTTAATACTTACTTAATTAATATACTATACTCACTGCCAAGGTCTTCCCAGAACCAGTTTGTGCAATCCCAACAAGATCTCGTCCACTAAGTGCAATTGGCCAGCCCTGAGCTTGAATTGCAGTAGGTTCGGCAAATCCTTGCTTCTTGATTTCCTCCATTACATAGTCTGGAAAATTGCTCTCCTCAAAGGCTTGGATTGGAGAAGGTGTATTATTGCCTTTGACAGTAATTTCCTTGCCCGCATGATATGTGTTAATCTCGTCAGGTGTTCTATTCAGAACATTTATATGGGGAACATATAAATTCTTTGTTATTGTGGGCAATTTGGACAGATCCCAACTAGGTTTCTTTAACAAATCGCCTGGAGTCTTCCTGTTCTGTTTCTTTGCACCATATTCCTTCTGGCTCTGTTGCTGACTGTTCCAGTAAGTTCCGCCACTTCCTCCAGTGCGATTAGCATGGTCTCGATTTCCCCTGGTCCTAAAACTGATTGAAAACTTATGTATATCTGAACAAAGAAGGAGCCAGAAAATAAAAACATAATTGACACCTTTGGCCAATTTATGATTCAAAATCCTTTTTGTCGACTGTATCGAATTAGTGTATGTGTTTGTATATATATTCACTTTGTTTAAAATTTTAAAGTTTAAAAAAAAAATAAATTTATTCTTACTATACAATATATTTTTTCACCGCGGCCAATTTATCGCGACAACACAATTATTAGATAAAAGAAATCCACCGGGCACTTAAAATGCTTTTAAATCCGTCGGATTTAATTTCATCTCGTAAATAGAAAATGGAGCGAGCAGCTATAATCTCGTAGCACGAAATGGCGGCCGCTAGGCCCAAAGAGTCCAAGAGACAGCCATCACGAAAAAAAAATCTTACCATCCCTCGACGACGAACTAATCTCATATCTCAAAGGACATACCTGCTTTGCGTTTGCGGGTATCCGTTGTACATTGTTGCGGTATCGCGGTCCGGTTCGAGTCTAGTGACGTTTAATCGGCGGCAGAGGTGGATCCTGGCTGGGCCCTGGAGTCGCGAAGACGGCGCGTCAGCTGTAACGTCTGTGCGGCAACGAGATCGTGGACGTCGAAGGACAAAAGCGTGGTCCTCGTATAACTTCGGATGCTGTCGCGCGAGCGATAATACTCGCGAACGAGCGTGCTCTCGGTACAGCAAATCCACGGACTCAACCCACAGGAGCCGGCGAACGGAGCTGCTAACGGACTGACAAGCTCCGACGGGACGGAAGCGGCCGACTGATCAGCGCTTCCGCTTCCACATGCGGCATCGACCCGCGAGTCAGGGCACGCGCGATTGGTCCGGACGCTCGCTCGCTGCGCACGCGCAATTGACACGATCGATCGATCAATGTCCGCAGGTAGAACGGACAGTTCAGAGAGCACTGCTCCCAGATCGTGGGATTTTTCCATAATATATATAGGAAACTCTTCAAAAAGAAACACACAAAATATCACACAATTGGCTGTCAAATGGAAAAAATTGCTTGTTCGATATCTGAAAGTTGGAAGACTCCCATAGTCGAATACTTTCTGTATCGCATCTTTTCTCTCCTTTTCTGATTGATCTTTACAAAAAAAACTGTCTAATCTAATTAATCTAATTATATTGAAAGACAAAAAATAGCAATCTCGCTATCTCTCTCGAATTACATTAAAAAATCTACTCGTCGGAGTAATGTTTGATTGACCAATCGGAAGCAATGGTTTCTTTACCCTGATTGGTCAGTCAAATGCTGATATCCAATAGAAATTGTGGATTTTAACCAACGACATTTTTGTTTCTAGAATATAAACTTTTCTATTGGATATCGAACGTCGATAGTGAATATCTAGAATCTGTGACGGCACCTTTACATTGGACACGTGATTGGCTATTCTGATCTATTTCCTCGATTCTCGCGTTGTTCGTGCTGCTTCATGTTGGTTTGCGCTACATGATAACGGGGCGGCAAATCGTTCGCATTCGGGAGAAAAACGCGGCAAGTTGACGAAGGTGCAAAGCAAATGTTGTTTCCACCAAAGAAAACTTGGACGATTTAATTCCCGGAATCTGAGAACGTCGTGATCGTAAACTTCGACCACGCTGATTCAATCTCGGTAAAATATTACAATTGACACCCCCGACCGACATGGAAACGGTCGAGGACGGCGAGCAGCCGAACGTTCTTCGGGAGATAGCGAGCGATGAGGAACTGGAACAGATCCCGAAAGAGCTCGCGAGAAAGATTCATGCGCATTTTAATGCGAAGTTCGATGAATTTATAACCGCCAAGGCCGTTTTCGAGACTAGCAGGAAGACCTTAGGTAAGCTGGATGCCGGTTGTGGAATTTACATTCGAATGAATATTCACACGACACACATGTTTTATTTACATTATCTCTAAGAACCGTATTCTGAAAATGCGTTTTTCGTCATTCGTCACGTTTAAATCTCTTCTAATTGACGCATGTTTACTTCTCAAAATTTCAATGCGGTCTTAAATGTGGGCTTAAATATAAGAAGTATAATAAAATGTAACCAAATAAAATTTAAAAATTCTTTTGTGAATAAACACTGCAGAAGGCTATAATTATATGATATGTTGGCATACAGAACAAAATTTAGAGAAGGCACAGAAGGAAGTTTCGGAGCAAAAATTGGATCTCGACGAATGTAGGGGAAGATTAGAACTGTCTGAACAGAATAATGCAGAGATATCTAACAACCTTGAGGAAGTGAAGAATGAAGTACATAGATTACAAGAGTCCGTTAAACGGTAATTATATATATATGTATTCTAAAATGTGTATATATTAATAACTATCTTTATTACTATTCTAAAAAATAAAATAATATAATATGAATATAAAGAATAAAATTATATATTTATACTTACATAGAATGACTTTGTGCTTGCTCTTAATGTAATTTTAATTATATTTAATAATCTCTTCTAATATTTTATATATAATGTGAATTACAGATTGGAAAAAGAAAATGGTGAATTACGGAGGCAGAGGGATACACTTACGGATGAGACAAATGCATTACAACTGCAAGTTGAGAGGCGGGACACTGAGATTGAGAGGATGCGTGTTGAGTTGTCTTCTTTGAGCTCTCAGCTTCAAGCTGCTATTGCAGCCAAGTGCCACACTTTAACTGAGACAGAGGAAATTCGTAGTCGAGAAATGACTTTAGACTTTAAGTAAGTTAGTTAAAAGAAAATATGTGTTTTTTATATATATGTAGAAATTCAGTAACATATATTATTAATTTGATATGCTATGTATACAGGGAGAAACGGCTAGAGCAAGAACGATCACTTCTCTCCCAGCAAATGGCAAGTCTCGAAGAAGAATTGGCTAAAAGGACCTCTGAATTGCAAGCAGCAAGATCTGAAGCTTCTAGCAGAGCCCTCTTAATTGATACTAAACTATCTCAGCGTGAAGAAGAGCTACGAATAGCTGATGAAGCCAATTCTCAATTGCGAGAATCAGTCTCTTCTCTTCAAAAGCAATGTGATGAACTAGCACAGAAATTGGAACAGCAGCGTGCTCACGAAATTGCCATAAATGATTCTTACCAGAAAGAAATCAATGCGCAGAAAAATCTAGCTAGTTTGTATGAATCTATGAAGGATGATGCCAATGCTAAGGCTGAGGCAATTTCCAATGCAGCAAGCGAGCTACAGAAACTTGTAGATAGCACTGCAGAGGAGTATGGAACCTTGGAAACAAAGTACAATCAATTAATGCTCCAACACAAGCAAGATATTGATGACAAGGAACAAAGTATTCAAGATCTAACGAAGGAACTTGAACATGCTAATGAATTGCTAAAGAATATCCAACAAGGTAAGTTATATATTTTTCCATTTGTCATGTATCAATGCTGATTATTAGTTTATGTTTATCAAATACCTTTTAATTACACACATCTTATATCTTAGGGTTGGATATATCTTATTAACCTTTAATAATATTTATATGAGCTTTTTGATTTTATAGAGAAATTAGACCAAGCTGTAGAACAATTGGCACCTACAGCAGCAATAACAAGTCGAGTGCTACGAAAGGGCCTAAGTCTTACGCAGATTTATACTCAGTTAGTTGAAGCCACCAATGAATTGGCCTTGGAACGAGAAGATAATGAACGATTGAAATCACAAATGGACCTGATTCTTCGCGAATTAGAGCAGAAAGCACCGTTATTGCAGCAACAGCGTCAAGATTATGAAACTGCCATGTCAAATGTGGCAACACTAACTTCTAGATTGGACGAACTTCTTGCAGAAAATCAACGTCTTCACGAAAGTTCTGATGAAGCTAATCGTCTTGCCAAACATCACACTACAGAAAATCAAAAATTAAAAACTGAACTTGCTGATCTGGCCAGACAAGTGAGTTATACATAATTACATATTTTCTGCACATTATTATATATTAAATGGAGGGATTCCAAAAATTATAAATTGAAGTGATCTATCTTGACACACATGTTTATATCAATTTGCATTCCTGCAGGTATGTTATCTTCTCAAAGAGGTTCAAGAAAGCCGCACCAGTACCCGCATAGAAACTAGAGATTTGTCTTCTTCCATGGATACAGATGACATTTTGTCGTCACAGATTATCAGCAAGAAATTAGTGACTTTCAAGGATATTGAGGAATTGCAAGAAAATAATCAGAAACTTTTAGCGGTTGTTCGCGCATTGTCATCTAGACAAGAAGAGATTGAACGGGCTACTGATGAGATAAATTCGGGTGAGATGAAGGAGAAGCTAGAGCGTTATATGGAACAGTTGGCAGACATGCAGGCTGCACAGGATAGACATTCAAAGATGGTGGATGGTCTCTTGAAGCAGAGAGACACATACAAGAACATGTACCAACAGATACTGAAAAACTCCAATGAGAAGAAGGAAACAGAGAAAGATGTCGAAGAGCATAAATCGAACGAAGAGTCGAAGACGACAAAAGATAATGAAGAAAAGGAGGAATGGTCCAGGAAGTTAAAAGAAGCCGAGGATAAGTTTAAACACGTTTCAGATGAGTACGAGATATATCGAAAGGAGCGGACTGCACATGAGAAGATGTTGAGCGAAGAAGTGGAAAGGCTCAGGAAAGAAGCAGAGGCAAATTCAGCGAGATGTTGTAGACTGAGGGCACAATTAGACTCGGCGAATGAGAGGTTTACATTATTGCAAGGCAATGTTGCTTCTTATAAATCCCAGATCAAGGCCCTCGAAGAGAAATGCACCAATTACAACGTCACCATCGGTAAACACGAGCAAAGTATTATGATTCTAAAGGACGAGACGCTTGCCGCTCAGACTCGCTTAGCCCGAGCTGAGGTTCAACTGGAGAATCTTCGTCAGGAACGCCAACTCTTGAAAGACTCTGAAGGACGTCTTCTAAAGGAGCGAGAAGTCTATCAAAGGGAAAGACAGACACAATCTTTGCTTAGAGCAGACATGGAATCTATTAAGGCCAGTCTGGAGCGAGTCCAGGCTGAAGGACATCTCAGAGCCGAGCAGAGACTTGACGATGCCAACAGAGAATGTGCCGCTCTTCGGCGTCGTCTTCAGGAGGAGCAGGATCGCTTCAGAGAGTTGGCAGGCCATTTGGAGAGACAACTGGCGACTGTGCAGGAGAGATTAAAGGAAGAACGCGAATTAAATGAGAGGCTTAAAGCTGAATTAGATCAAGCAAGAGAGACTGAAACTCAAAGCAGCCAAAAGATTGATGAACTAAACAACAAATTAAGGCAGGCAGCTGCCCATTCCATTTCTAAACCCTTGACAGGGGATGAAAATCTTGTAAAGAGGGTTAAGGAACTGGAAATGCAACTGAGCACTTATCAGACTGAAGCAAAATCACTCTCCGAACACCTGAAAACAGCCAGACAGCAGAATCAACAATACTGTGACATAGCCGAGAGCGCTGAAACGCAGCTGAGAGAATTGACAGCTGAGTATAACAAGTGTAAAGAGGAATTAGAGAACGCTTTAAAAGAATCACGCGTGGAAATTATTTCATTACAGAAGAGAGTAAAGGAACTGAATGATGAACTGGCGAAAATATCGAATGGCAGACAAGAAACTGACTCAGAGTTGAGAGATAGACTGGCTGAAGCCGAGAGAAAAGTCGAGGAATTGGATGAGTTGAAAGGTGAACTAGAATTGTTGAAGAACGATCTAAAATCTATGTCTATCACGGCTAAAGAGGCAGAAGACAAATACACTAGGGAGATGATGCAGCATTCGTCCGATTTGCAGGCAAGTCTAGCAATAAAAAAAAAATAAATTGATTTTTATACAAATTTAGAAATTATTGATTTACATAATTGTTTCTTTAGGTTTTGGCCAAGTTGAAAGAAGAAGCCCAGCAAGTTCAACAGAAACTTAGCATTTTAACTCAAGAGCGAAACGCAGCAGTGGAAGCTTTGGAAATCGAGAAATTAGCTTGCAAAGAAAGAGAGCACAAGTACGTGAATGAGATCGAGGAAACACAAAAAAGGATTGTAGATTTAGATGCCCAAAACGCGCTTTTGCATAATCAAATTCAGGAATTGGGCGACCGAGTCGCCGTCATGCAGAGTCAGCAGACCAAGATAAGTGGAGGGGATAGTCCTGATACTAGTTTCGAAGCTCTGAATAAAAGTTTCAGTAATTTAGAGGAAGATTCCAACTCAGTTGAACAGTTGTTGAGAGTTATGAAGTATTTAAGAAGAGAGAAAGACCTGGCTTTAGCCAAATCCGATGTTCTTAAAGCAGAAAATCTCAGATTGAAATCACAGATCGAGGTAGCGGAGAAACGAATGAAAGAAACCGAAGTCTTGCTAAATTCTGAACGAGAGAAATCCGAAATTGATGTGATGACTACATCCAAGCATGCAGAATTGCTGCGCAAGGTGGAGACTTTGAATGCCATTACAGATTCTAACCGAATCCTCAGAGAAGAAAGAGATCAACTAAGTGCAAAAGTTAACGAACTTTCAGCTAAAGTGAACGCTCTATCAGAAGAAGTAGTGCCTCTTCGAGATATATCTAGAAACTTGACAGCCAAAACTGAAGCTCTGGTCGAAGAAAACAACAGCTTGAAGGGCGAAGCGACTAGATGGAGGCAAAGGGCAAACACATTATTAGAGAAGGCAAATAAGGCCAGCCCTGAGGACTGGCGGCGGCTTCAGACCGAAAGGGAGAACCTGAGTAAGTTGCTGACGTCAGAGAGGGAGATTCATGCAAAGAGAAATGAAGAATTTAATCAAGTAAAAACGGAGAAAGCAAAACTCGAAGAGCAAATGGCGGAATTGCAGAGACAGATACAAGCACAAGATGAACAAATGTTACGAGTATCGGAAGA